CCCCCCCCCCCCTTTTTTTTTTAACCTGGTGTGGGCAATAAAGCCTAAAGATACGGGTTGGGATTGGGTACAGATCAGGCCAGTTCTGGGGATAGGTCCCTCTTGTACATGCAATCTCTAAATCACCTGTCAGTGGAGCACGTGCATCTTCTCTGCAGTGCAGCAGTCTCCATCACAGCAGCAGTGAAGGAGTGGCAGAGAAGGGCCAGTGAAATGCCACGGACCAGGGGGCAGCAGGAAGTCACCAAGTGCCAGGCGAGGGTACAACTTGGTCAGCTGCAGGTAAGGCATTGCACTGCACTGAAGCTACTGAAGGAAGTAGGGGCACGTAAATCCTACTGCAAATCTACAGCAGTAAGTGCAAAGACTCTGCGGCTGCTCCGCTGACAGGACAAGGTGCATGGAGTCATGCTGGTTGTGATTTGCAGCTGTCTAGTTTTTATTTAAAATGTCTTAATCTTGTATCTTTATTGACAGTGGGGGCACACCAGTTGCTCCCTCCACTTGGAAGCCCCCCTCCCTAAGACCATTAAAAACACGAGGTGTATAAAGGCAAGGAGCCCCTTGGCAAGAGCCGACCCCACACACAGATGCTTCCCTTCCACCTGCAGGGCTGTAGAAAACACAAGTTGGGAGAAGATCAGTCTCCTGGAGTACAAACACTTCACATTGTCTGGAAAGGGCTGGAATAGGAGGCCCGGAGTTAACGGCCCTGTCTATTGCTGATGAGAGAGTTGGGCCAAAGCACGTTGCCACAACGGCTTCTCAGCCTCGCTGCAGCAACAGTGGAAACCCAAGCAGCAGGTAGGGTAGAGATCGCATGGGTCACACGAGGCAGTGAGTGGCGAGGTCTGGCTGACACAGGTGTGCCAGCCTGAAGGCCACGAGAGCACTGATCTGCTCTGCGTGTGTTTGGACCGCAGAGGTAAGCCACAGAGAAAGGCACCGCGGTCTGGGGAGTGAGGCCCCGACTTCCCTGACAGAGGGAAGCTCTTGCCTGCACCGTCAGACCCTGCCAGGACAGTGTGCAGCAGGGCGGAGGCGAAGCCGATGGCCTGTTTCTCATCCTCCTGTAGTGTTCGCACAGCCGCTGTGCTGTCCTAGAAGTTTATCACTCGAGCCTCGTAGATGGTGTCATCTGGGTCCAGCTGCAAGAGGAGGGAGGGGAAAGGACAGTTTTGTGGGTCATGGGTGCTGCCATATCACTCCTAAGGAAGACTGTGAGGTCCAGGTGTGCCTCATGTGCTGCTCCTTCCCTGCCCCTTCTAAAAGCAGTTGTGTGAGCCCATCCAGGAGCAGTGACAGCTAAGGGACCAAGTGATGCACCCCAGTGGCTTCCACAGATCCCTGTGGGGTGCAACTGGATGCTATGTGTTGGGGCTGCCCTTCTTCTGCAGTCAGGCACTGGCTCCTGCCTGCTCTCTTGGGGTAAGGCCCAGCATAAACTTGCCGAGGTGCGTGATGGACCTGGGATGAGGTAAGTGAGGACATCCTCAAAGGCAAGTCTGCCATCTTCCTGCTACCACATTAAGTAGCAGTGCCTCAGTCCCCCACTGCAGACTGCGGGTGAAGGCACCCCTGCTGTCCAGCGGGACAAGCCAGTGCTTTGCAATGGCAGGGAAAGGACCAGTACCTTGCCGTCCTGTTTGAGCGGGCGGGCTGGCTTCTGAGCCAGTGGTGGCTTCTTCAGGATGCTGCGCCTGGGAGCCGAGGCTGGCTTGGCCTCACCGCTGTCTGTGTCGTCGTACACCCCGGCCAGCGCATAGTGCTTCTTCCGCAGCTCCCCAAGGCGAATGCGCTCATTCTCCAGCATCTTCTCCAGCTCCAGCACCTTTACCTGTGCAATGGCAAACCCGGGACCCTCCCTGAAACCAGAGCTGAGGGTGTGGGCAGCTGTGATTCCATCTAGGTGTTGTGAAGGAGGTACGGGACTGCGATGCAACCCAGCTGTGGTTACACTGCAAACCCCCAGAACAGAAGAGCAATGCACATGGCTAAGTTGTCCCAGGACCAACCTGCAGGGGGGCAATGACTGCAGGAGGTGAGGTGGGGACTAAGGAGATGTGTGGCTTGCACAGAGGCTGCTCAGAAATACATGCATGGCTCTCAGCTGAATACACTTGCTCTTGGAGAGCGACAGCTTGCCTGGGCAGTGACTGCTGGCATTCAGATGGCAGGGGTGTGTACGGGTCCAGAATTGGGCCATAAACCTTTGCAGTGGGGACCTGCTAGCTGTATGGCTATGGGCTCTAAATCCACAGTGTAGCCAGATGCTGCGTACATGAGAGGACCCTGGCTGCGACCACCTCCACAAGGTGGGTGACGTACCTGAGTCTCCATCTCTTCCTTCTTTAGCTTGATGAGTGACATGCCAGAGAAATCCATGGTATCTGTTGAAAAGAGGGTGGGAGGGTTTTTGCCTACAGCACGAAGCTCATGTGACGTGGGCCATGCCTCCTGCCATGTGCCAGCGACCTGGGGCTGGCCCTCAGACAGTCCTGTGGGGACAGGCCGGAGGAACCCGAATGGTCTCACCTTTGTCCTCAATCTGCTCTTGGCCCGACTTGGTGGAAGCCACGACATTGGCAGCCATCTCGTTGACACTGCGGGAGCACTCTTGCAGCCTGGCCAGGTTCCTGCTGTTCTTGTCAGCCTTGACCTGCCGGGAGTGAGGACTGAGTGGTTCTCAGGTACGTGGGGGGTACAGATGGGGCTCTCGTGTGGATAGGGGAGGGCGCTTGGAGCCAGCGAGCGTGAACCCATGCCAGCTAAGGGGGTGCCGGGGTCGTGCATGGGTGCTGAGAGCAACTTTGCAGTTGTGTGGTGTCACCTCCAAGGGCTTTGCCTGGCAGGGGGAATCCTGTCCTGCATGCACAAATGCTTTCCATGCAGTAGGGCTTGGACCCTAGGAAGCATGATGGGCTGGAAGAGCCCCATGTCCCTTCCTCTTGGTTGCCAAGGCCAGCAGCATGGTGGGATTGCTACAGCTACCATGTACCTGCTGCAGGGAGTGAAACAATTCCCAGTGGCTCTAGGCAGTCTCTCTCTCCCGTTTAAATGGCAGGGCACAGGGCAGTGTGACCTCAAGGTCTGATCCCCACGCATGAACCGTGACTACTTGCAAATCCCCCCTCCGCTCTGGACAAAACCTGTATCCTAGGAGCTGGGATCGTTGTGCCTGCCTTATGTCTGTTTGCGTGTGTTGCCTACAGCGCCTTTTGGAAGCGAAGGGTGACCTACACACCCATGGCTGGGTGCTGTTCCTTCACCTCCCCCCACCAGGGGAATGGGGAAACGTCTCGTTGGCTTGCACTGCCCGGGCTCATGTACATTGCTCTGCTGAAGATTACCTTGGAGGCCGCCACCAGCTGGGCTGTGCTGGCTGCAATCTCATGGGAGCAGACAATGAGCTCTTCATATTTGCCTGTGTGCAGGACCACGCGATCTGCAGATTCCCTGCAGGGCAAATGGAGAGTGGGGACGGGTTAGGGAAGGGCGACGTGGGCAAAGGAAAGCAGGAAAATGTGATGCTGCCAGCTGCGTAGCTTGTGCCGGTGCCTCACAAAGGCCTGCAGGCCCCTGAAGCCACAAGTGTGCATGGGGGCAGCTCCCAGGAGCTCGTTATCCCCGTGCCCCGCAGACTGGAGTGTGACGAGGGCATCTTGTTCACGGCCAGAGAGCAGCAGCATTGCCGGGGGCCAAACGGCAACAGGGATCCAGCGCTGGTCTGGGCTGAGATGTGCATGTGGCTCAGCTGGCTCTGTGCGTGGCCATGTGCCCATCATAGATTTCATAGACATTCGGGCTGGAAGGGACCTTGTAAGATTGGGTCCAGCCCCCTGCCCCAGGGGCAGGAAGTCAGCTGAGGTCAAAGGATCCAGGCCTGGACTGCATCCTCTGATGGGCACGGCTGCCCCGGGGGGCACAGAGGAGGTGCTGCTGGTGGGCCGGAGCCCGGGAGCTCCACAACAAGAGCTGGAAGTGTGGCAGAGACTTACACGAGCTGCGTGGCCCCCCAGCCCACGGCTTTGGAGGCAGAGATCAGGCCCTCGGTCCAGCGGGAGTTCTTGGCGTA